CCCTACAGCCACACTCCCTGTCCAACCCACCTACCAGACTCAAAAGCCCTTCCTAACCGACCTCGCAACCAACAATCCTTCCACATACCCTCACCACATTGCCGACGCCACCTTGCCCTCAGATCTTATCTTCCGGCCCTAGTCGGAGATTGGTCTGTTGTTATTTTTCCCTCTTCATTAGTGTCGTGTTGTAACTCTACTTCTATATTAATAAAAATTTATTTTTTGTGTTTTCGTCGAGTTCCTAACTAGTTCTAGTATCACAAAATCTTATTAGGAGTAGTTTGTGTTATAGTATGGTACGAAGAATTATACCAATATTTGGCCCACATAATCCACTTGGCCCACAGCTTCGGCTGATCCGATACAAAGCAACGCGTGTATGTATCGACACTCTTGTTCACCACCTCCGTCTGGTCATTAGTCTAAGAATGATATGTCAAGCTTCCCTTGACAACTGTTCCTAGTAGCCTGAACAACTCCTTCCAAAACTGGTTGAGGAACAACTTGTCCCTGTTTGATACAATCGATTCCGACACCCCATGCAAACAAACCACTTCCTGTATGACCACCGTAGAGACTGAGACTGCAGTGTAGGGGAGTAGTAATGTAATGAAAGGTGCATAGTTGCTCAGGCAAGCCACTACCGCCAGGATCGTCATAAACCCTTCTGATCGCAGTAATCCTTCTATTAAACTTCTTCGTAAAATTTTTCCAGTAATGCTAATGGTTGTAACAACCCGTCTGGTGCCATGGTCAAGTATTTATATCGCCGACACACATCACACAACGCCATGTTTTCTACATGCCCAGAAAAGCTTTGTTGACAATTGTACATCTTTTGCACCCAGAAGTGTGCCCCGATCGCACTGTCGTGAAAATCTTGCAATAATCTGGGGATGTACTCTGAGGGTCTTGGTAACACGAATCGCCCCTGGTAGAACAATTGTTGTCCCATCAAGGCATATCTCGGATGAGTGTTTGAGTCTTATAGCAACTCTGCC